GACGAGGCTGACCCAGATGTTGCTTGGAAGGGCATACAATCAGTTGTGGAAACAGCAGTGACATCTATTAGTGACTTAAACCACAGAGTTGCAAGGAACCAGTGGATTTCTTCAAAGTCTGTCACACTGATGGATTCTCGTAAACTCGTCCCATCAGGTTCTGAACATGATGAAGAGCGAAAACAAATCAGATCTAGGTTAAGAAAAAGTCTAAGGAACGACCGTGAGCAGTGGTGGGTAACGAAAGCAAAAGAGATGGAAAAGGCGGCGACTGTAGGGAACACAAGACTGCTCTACAGACTAATAAAAGAAACTGGAATTAATAAGTCAAGTGTAAGTGAGATTATATCGGAAAAAGATGATACTCTCATCTGCTCCCAGTCCAGGCGTTTAGAACGATGGGCGGAACATTTTAGAGAACAGTTCAGCTGGCCTTCAGCTACTGTACAACTACCCTCCATTCCCAGACAGTGTGAATGGAACATTGAAGTAGGTCCCCCAACTCTTGCTGAAGTCCAAAAGGCTATAGTTAATCTGAAACGAGGAAGGGCAGCTGGTCCAGGTGGACTGGCTCCAGAGGTCTTTAAGGATGGTGGTCCAATTTTAGCGATTAGGTTGACTAATATTTTAGCTAAGATCTGGGAATTAGACTTTATCCCATCTGACTGGTCGCAATCACTTATCGTCCCAATATATAAGAAAGGGTCAAAATCATCCTGTGACAACCACAGAGGGATTAGTTTAACAAACATAGTATCTAAAATACTGGCCTCGATAATTATCAAACGCCTAACTAAGACTCGTGAACTACAAACTCGAGAGAACCAAGCTGGCTTTAGACCTGGTCGTGGCTGCATCGACCACATATTCACCATTCGTCAGGTTCTAGAACACAGGCATACCTATCGGCGTCCGACGATGGTGGTCTTTCTTGACTTAAAAGCAGCATTTGATTCTGTAGACCGCGAGATTCTTTGGCAGTGTCTGTCATTGAGAGGCGTACCTCAGAAGTACATAAACCTTGTGAAGGCTCTTTACTCGAACACTACTAGTCGAGTCAGAGCTTATGGCGAACTGTCATCTACTTTTGCAACCTCAAGTGGTGTCCGTCAAGGCTGTCCACTTTCTCCATTTTCGTTTAACTTCATCATAGACCTATTGATGGAAATAACATTCTCGTCGACTGAATTCTCGGGTATTGATCTCCTTCCAGGGGGTCCACTTATCGACTTGGAATACGCAGATGACATAGTCCTGTTTGGTGAAGACGCTGACAAAATGCAGAGTCTTCTGGTAGCACTAAGCAACAATGTCAGAATGTTTGGAATGCGCTTCTCCCCCCTTTAAATGCAAGTTGTTACTTCAGGACTGGTCTGCATCAACACCTGAACTAAGGATAGGGAGTGAAGTAGTCGAACGCGTTGACAACTTCACTTATCTTGGAAGTCTGATCAGCCCTAATGAGTTGGTGTCTGACGAAATCTCAGCACGGATTCGAAAAGCTCGCTTGGCTTTTGCCAACTTACGTCACCTATGGCGGAGGCGAGATATCCGTCTATCAATAAAAGGACGAGTATACTGCGCGGCAGTCCGTTCTGTTTTAATTTACGGGTGCGAAACATGGCCTTTAAGAGTAGAAGATACTCGTAAGCTACTAGTATTTGACCACAGATGCCTTAGAAATATTGCTGGCATCTGCTGGGATCACCGGGTAACTAATAGTGAGGTTAGACGCAGGGTATTATGGAATGATGGTAAATCAGTTGATGAGGTTGTGAATCTTCATCGACTGAGATGGTTGGGCCACGTATTACGTATGCCTGAACACCGATTACCACGACGTGCAATGCTAACCGGGGTAGGGGATGGTTGGAAGAAAGTTAGGGGCGGCCAAACCAAAACGTGGCATCAATGCCTGAAGTCACTAACTTCTAGTCTGAGCCATGTTGGTAGATGCAGACTACTTGGTTGGGGTCCGCGTGACTTTCGTAACCAATGGTTGGAGACTCTTGGTGACATGGCTCAGAATCGATCACAATGGCGTCGGTGTATACACTCCCTGTCTTCCCTTAAACTAAGAGATTAAAATCACTTCATATCTTTCTTTCTACGAACTAATTCTTTCTTCCTATACTATATCCTTATTGCAACCTTTGACCTAACCACTCCTATGAATCCGGTATTCATCTTGCTGTGCTAATGAGGTATGGCAACCTGGACCGATGGACATATGTGCCTGGTCCTACGTTGTAGCTGATTGACTGACTGACCAATTACAAGGAAAAACATTTAGTAAATGAATTACTTTAATGAAGCAGTGATATTTTTTGTTTGAAACTTAGTCAATTTAATGAATTAGTGATTGATAATTCCTTCTCATAGACAAATAGAGTACCAAATTTTAACGGAGTTTGATTGAAAAGTGCAGGTTCGGTATTTATCATTGTTGTATCCCAATGAGAATAATGAATGGTAATTTTTGGGATCCATTTATGGACCAATATTATGAGTATATTTTTATCGTATAATTGTTATGTAACTAAACTATTCATATTCATGCTCCTCTTATTATGAGCTTTATGTTGACCTATGAACTATTATTGTACGATTTACCATTCATGAATTGTTCCCTATCTGTTAATCGCTACCTCCCTCATTCACAGCCATTTCTGGCTAATTATTTTACAAATGTTATTTTCTATTTTGTTGATACGTTGTGGTCGGGTTGATTGGTATATAATCAGAGTATGCTTGAAATACAATGATTTATATCTCATAGGCTGAGACTTACGTTCTGGACTCAACTGGCTGGGCTAGACAGGAAAGCGGGACCAATCAGGACTCTAGGCCGTTCTTACGTGTTTACGCGTCTTTGGTTCGATCGATAATACGCTGTCCATACAGTCCTTATTGGCATACCGGTTATTTTAGAATACATATGGATCACGTCGTACATTTGCATATTTCTAACTTGTTTCCTCAAACGTATTTTTTCAGAATTTCCTATTAATCAAAAGTGTTTTAGTCATTATATGTATGGATATAATTCTGTTTTTTTCCTTTCAATCACCATCGCGAAAAAATGAGTGACGTGTTTGATTAAAAACTAAACTAAGGTTGAGAATCTGAACCGATTTCATAAATTTTAGTGGGTAATTGATTACATTTACTACTAGGTGTGCTGTTTCAATCAAGTTAATTAATATACCTTGCAGTTTTGAGTTGTTTAAACAAGGAGATTAAACTCAAAGTGGTTATTCACCAAAACAATATTTAAAAAAGCTTTTCTTCCTGTAACCTTTAATTATGAGTATGGCGTCAGAGAAGTTGTGGAAAATTCCTCAATTACGGTCCTTAGTAGCACTGACCACTCAAAATCCCTACAAGAAAATAAACAACCAATCAAATTTCTCTTAGAATAATCGTGGTGTCGAAAATAGCTGTACAAAATTTAGTTTGTAGAAATCCATTAGTTTTAGAACGGATGATGCTATTTACATGAAATACACAGATACTCGCTTTTAATTGAATGTTAGATATTATTTGGTTTAAAAACAAGATAATATCCAAATGAATAAGAATCAGTTCATTTTAATAGAATTTAGTTATTCGTTCGATTAATCATGTAGATTTTATGTATGATTTTAATTCCTCACAAATTGGTGAAAGGTTCATGCTTTGACAGAAAACTATTAGGTAAAAAACTGAGTTACACAGTAAAGATAGATTTCAGTTAACAATTTGTTGACAGGGTTTCATTCTCTGATCTACATGATTTAATTGATAAACTTTCGTTGTTCTTCTGAATAACGTCGTTAGCGCATACTTCAGGTAGAAATGAGCTTTTCGAATTTCTGCACATATAACTCACAGCTTATGCTGCAAACCCTGAGTTTGATTGGTTATTATTAATCTGTATCCTGTTATTGAATCTTTATTTTGATTGTCTCCCTCTTTGACCCCATCCCGCACCCCGCGGGATCGTGGGTGCGCACTGCTGAGGAGTCCTATACTAGGACGAAACGGCCGTCCAGTGCTTCCAGGTTTCCAACGGTGGTCTAACATCAAATAATTCATGATCTCAACCAAAAACTTAACAATCTCCACAACCCCCATACTGATGATCTGAGTTCCATCAATAATCTTGTTGTAACTTCTGATTTGTTCTTTATATATCGTGGGATGATCCGTTTGTTGGTTTTTTTATTCCATTTGGTTTTTGCTGTTGGGTTCGATTGATATTTTTTCGAGTTGGGTGGGTAGCCGTCCTTTTCAAAAGCAATCATCAAGTATTTTTCCGTGCAGCGTTTTCGCTCTTCAGGAATTTGTCTACAGGTGTTTTTATGAGTCATTGGGTCGTTGTTATTGTAGAGTGTAACCAATGTTTTGTAGCAATGAAAATTCTATAGGGTGATAACCATAACTCGGAATACTATCCTTTACTGCAAAGAATAATTTGGGATGTTTGGGTTAATTATTTGGATAAAAGATGTTATTTCACCGTTATTTTATTGCTTTTTTATTGTTGATTGTTTTTTAAACAATCTAGCGTTTCCTGATTGGCTGGCAAGTCGCCTTAGGCCGTTATTCCTTCTTTTTTCTACTCTACAAATCTAACCATCGTCATTATGAAATAATTTTCTGAAGGAATTCTCATTGAAATCAATCGATTCACCACTGTTGTCATCATTCTCATTATATGATTGTTTCTGAGTGTAAATTGGTTGCTACTTTGTTTTCTATCAAGCATCTTAGCCACTAATTAAGGTATTTTTAGTATTTTGGTAGTAAAACAACATTTCACTACACCTTTACCTTGTTTACCAAAAAATCTACATTACATCACATACGTACCTAATGTGTGAACTGACAAAAATGTTAACAAAGTATTTTGGATTTCTCCTTTGCCATTACTTAATCGTTATTCCAGAAGAACACAATGCTTGATTTTTTTTTAAAAAATATAATTATTTTCTGTCGATTTCTTTTCATTATCAAAGGCTCATTGTATTCGTGGTGGTTGTCGTGAAGCAGATGGTTGGTGTCGTGTATTATGGGGTAAAACTGCCAGACTTGCTGATAAATATTGCTTTTATGAAAATGAAGTAAAGAGTAAAAAATCTAATGTCGATTCTGTAGCAAATTGTGGCGTACACCGACCATTATCTAAAAATCGATGGGAAGATGTAAAAACGTGGACAGGAATAGCTTGTGAAACATGGTAATTTTGGTAGATCATCATATTCCTTTTTTCTTATAATTCGTTATTCTTTTTAATTGGTTTTACTGTAATTTAAGAGTAGGTTGGTCTTAAAAAATATATGTCAGAGATTTAGAACAAAATTGTAGGTCGTTTATTCCTACGGATATGAATATCACTTATTAAGTTCCAGATTCCATTTGATCAGTTTTCGTCGCTTCGCCACTAATGACTACTTATAAGAATGTCTCGATTTCGGTTTTAATTGTAACTTTATACATAAGCAAGGTGGGGAGTACTGTGGTGTCTTTTAGGATTACCACATTATTTTATGACTTATGTCCTCTCAAAAATTATCACGTGACAAAACCACCCATCAGAGTACCGATTTCTATGAATTTGTCCCTGAACTAAACAATGACAAGTTCATCTATTGCGTGATATAGTCCAATCTTCATCTTTTGAGTCACTTTGTGACTCAAAGTGAGAATGCATAAGCCGACAAACTTCTAATTGATGTAAATGAAATGCTGCGTGAGATATTTGGAAACTGTTTTCAGTGGTATAAATGAATATATTCTTCATTTTTGGTATATATTACAATTCTAGATAGTAGCATAATACAGGATACGTATTTTTGACACTATTCGGAAGGTCATCAGTTGAATGTGTTTGCGTTTCACATTGAAACTCAATCTCCCTACCCATCCCTTCATATCTATGTTTTGGATTTCTTTTCTAACTTGAATGTTAATATATACCAAAAGTTTGTATTTGTACATGAAATCAAGTCATCCTCACTCGATTTACATATTCCAACAGAGTCATAAGATAATAGTCCTAAATGATAACATGAGGATAATACAACTCTTCACAAACGTATCCATTATGCTTTATCATTTTCACAATCATTGATACCACAATTATTTCGAATATTTATTTATTTATATGATTGATTTTCTCTTTTTGTATGGTGATATACAATGACAGCGTGATTTTGAAGCCACTTTTCAACCAAAAGCCGGATTGTTTGTATTGATCAAACTATAACACAACGGAAGGAATTATATTTGTTTCATCACTGTAGGCACGATCGTATAGTATCAATAAGTGATGTCGAAAAAAATTCTTCGTTAACTTGTACTTATTTCATATTCAATGTTAATTTTAGCTTATTTCATTTCTCCACCAAGTTAGAGAATTTTTTCTTTCATTCAGGCATGATACGTCCTGTGGACGATTATGGTGTCATCATCAAAATGAAAAAGCTATGCTTCTTGGTTGGATTCAGTCACAAACACGTGTTATTCACTCATCTGGTCGATCATGTTCTGCACTAGTATATGATCCAGTTTGGCCGGCTTCAGATCCTACCACTTGGGACGAGAACAAATTAGTTCAAATTAATGCGAATGGTGCAGGTGTTGGACTTTATTCAGCAAATACACAAGATGCTGGGATGGTTCCTGATGGGACACCTTGTTCTCGAGGCGTAAGTTTAATAACGTTATAATAATATCTTTCAAAATACAATTATTCCTATTAACTGAAGTTATCCATAGATTTACGCATTCAGTTGTTTGAATGTTATTGATTCAAAAGTTAACCTTTCTTGTGCAACATCACTGACCTTCAGGTTTGGGTGCCTACACGTAAATTGACTTTATCTTAAATGAATGCAACAAACTCCTTAACTCGAATAAAGTTCTAAAGCTGGTTTAATGCTGGGGCAAGATCCTGTAGCCTCAATAACGTAGTTTCTCTATCACCAAATGAAAATTTGGAGTTTAGATTATTAATACAGTAGATAATTATCTTACTTGTGGGGTATCTATGTCTAGTAAGTACTCGTAAACCTTGATAGACCACAAAGCTATACATTACCAAGAGTATGTATATGGTACTGGAGAAAGAGGGGAACATTCAGTTTGACAGTTAAACTATGGAAATTTGTATGATTTTTACTGACTACTATTTAGCATCCAAATACCCTGGCATTGTCGAGAGTGAGGAGATTCCATTCTCATGCAGTTTATAACCTCTATCAGGTAAGTCCTACCTATTATTACCTTAACGGAACGGGAGTTATGTTTCTGTATATGAAGTGTCATGTCCGAACAAAGAATAAATGAATTGTAACTGCTAGGAATTGTTTATGGACTATTACTACGTATATTCTTATCATATAATTATTGTGTAACTAGATTACACATATATTCATATTCCTTTTATCATAAGCTTTCATTTGACCCATTAGCTACCATTGTACGATTTACCACCCTTAATTTATTCCCGATCTGTTGTCCACAATCTTTTATACTGAACCTCTTTTGGCTTGATCTTGTATAATTATTATTTTTCACTTGATGGTGCGATGCGGTCTAGTCTTCTTGTATATAAACCACGTATGTCTGAAGCATATGATTCATACAGCGGAGGGAGATATTGTGTTCTGGACTCAACGAGCAGGGTCAAGCGAGTTGACTGAAGACTGCTAGTGGTGGTTGGCGTGTGACTGGTTTAGCACAGAGACAATGCCATAGAAGTTGGTATTTTGAATATCGATTTTGACATGATGTTTGACGTACTTCAGGATATAACAGTTTTCAGCCCATATATCAATATATTTGTATGGATCGAAGCAATTTTTATCGAGAAAGAATTAGGTGTATAGAAAACTTTTGAGTGAAATAAGAGTAAACGTTTTAGTGCGTTTTTTAAATCAATGTTGGGAACGTGCAAACATAATCTTATTTCTGTATTTTACAGTATTCTTTACATCCACTTTCGATATATCAGAATTAAGTTAGTTGGTAAGGTTGGGAATTCTCATTGACTCCTACCTCTTCGTGTAATCCTGGCTGTTGTAGAAGTACTTTAGACGAAAGCCGAGGGGACATCAATCTAAGTTGTGAGATCAGCCCACATAGTCATTGGTCTGAGCCATGTTTACAAGTGTACACTATCAGATTGGAGACGTTTTGTGACCTTTTATTTAAAACCTATCAAAACAACCCTGATGTATTCGTCTTAACATTTCTCTAAATCATAAATTTTACTACTCTTTCGTACATATTTTTATTTCCACATTTTCGTACGATATTCTCAGTTGTTATTCTTTCTTATAACTATTACTACGACGTGATTAACCTTCCTTTCCTACTTATTTTGTTAATTTCATCGCGTTGTGCTTATATAGTATTGAAACTTAGGTCAACCCACATATGTGCCAGTTTCTACGTTGATTGTAACTGACCGAAAAATTTGAACCTAAACACTCAGAGATGTGTTTTTTTTAATCACTCAGTTAAATACCTTCATATATACATATTTACTTGGAACATTTCATTCTAAGATTTTGTTATACCCTTATTTATGTTACGTTATCTCAGCTCAAGATTCATTACCACGATATGACTATATTCTAACAGATGTTTCGGCAAAACCATAATTTGTAGACTCACAAATGAAATTAAAGATAGCAAGTCTTGGATTTTGGTGCCAAGTTCATTTATCAATATGGTTAAATAACATTTTGATGTTATAGCTAATGCCAGTTCGCAGTGAAAACCCTAATCCTAATTTACAACCCAATTTCTAACTCTGCATTCTATTTCTGATTCCTTACACTAATCGATAATCCTCTTTTGATCCTATTAAGTTGGTGAGTTTTCTCAAGATCACTTTATCTTCGCCAAAGGTCGCCCATAGGTTAAAATCTCAGCGACAATACTATATCTTATGTAATTTTAACGTTTTGCCTGATTTAAACTTGAATATTACTGTTTTGTAAGAGGTATAAATCAAAAATCTAAAAATGAGCATGATATTGATAACTTGGGTAAGAGGCGAATAAAAAGAATTCATCAAACCCAATAGAAAAAGTAATGATGTTTTATACACCATGTTGGTATACAATGATAAGCAATTGTTTTGTTACATACATTATATATTATATTTCAAATGGTTAGTGCAACTAAAACCTTAACGTTTTCACCTGCGTATCTAAGTCAGCCTGTAAACCTGATGAATATGTAGTGTCCAGTTCTCTGTCAAGCCTACTTGAGTTATTCAAGCTTCTAGACAGATCAATCTATATACGGGAGTCATATTTTTACCATATCGATTACTCTCTTATAACCTTAACTGTTCTTATATAAGGGGGTATATGTGTTTATCGCCTACCCTTTTCATCACATGTCTTTAGCTTATTTTCGTCTGGCTAAAAATAGTGAGTCAAGCTACACCAAATGGATTTGGTATACTTCCCTTATCGGCTTCTTTCCCCCTGTCTTCCTGCTTCTCATCTTAATGTCTGAGTGAACGAAAGTCTGAAATAAATACATCCGTATTTATCTTCTTATTTACACCATCTCTCAAACGGAGTTATCCTAGGTCTAATATACGGAGTTAAACGGAAGATTTATGTTCATGGAATATTTATTCGTTCGTCCAAATTGGAGTCAAATCTCGAGGCACTGAAAATCTTACTTTAACTGGTTAGGATGTATGTATCCATGTTGTGTAAATTTGTATTGAGCCATTGTTTACCAAAATGTTTAAAACTGAACCGTTATGTATAAAAAAAAGCTAAAAAGAAGAAAAATATAAGTTATTGTCCAAGTATTTTAAAAAGTTATTCCTATTTTTAATAAAATGCGTTTCATTAGCATTTAATAGCTAATCGATGTGAATTCGGATATTTCCAATTTATAGCACTAACTAATTTGACTAGAACATTTAGATACATACCTTAATACTCTGTTTAATGTAACAATATTTTTAGATTAATAACTGTAGAGCATAATGAATAAGTTATCAAAAACCATTGTACGCTGAAATACTTCCTGTTTTTTGCAATATTTCATAGGGTTTTTTTTCAAATTACTGAAAACAATGAATTTCATTTTACCAAAGAACTGTCGGTTGCAACCATGCTAAGTAATATGTAGTCAACTCACGTACCAGATTAAAGCCTTACGTAATTAGCTTTGTGTCACACACAGCTCAAGACTGAGTGGAGTTCGAACTTGGAAATAAGTAGCTGAAACTCAAAACCTCTCAACCACTGAGCCATCGCTCAGCTTTTTAAAATCACGCAACACTCGGCACTCCCAGCCGGTCACCCATTCAAGCGCTAATCAAGTCCAACGTTGCTCAAATTTGATGATCCGATGGGATCGGGCATTTCCAAAGTCAAGTATAAGCTTTCTACATTACATAGCCCGATATATATATATATATATATATATATATATATTCCTTTCCATACATATTGTTATTGATATGCATAGACTAACTTATTCAACACATTCCGCTCTGAAGCACCATCTTCGGTGACCACCTGTTGTACGAATATAATCACAGCAGCTTCAATATAAAGGATTATTTGGTAACGCTTAGAGGAGGTGGAAAATGTGAAGAAGTGGTCAGTTCTCGACATAGCACCATGATATGAAAGTAATACCTATTTAGTGTCCTACAAATGGTACAACCAAATGGCTTAAGATGTTATGAAACATACTTCACAAGAGAAGACATTGACGATGCTGTTTTACTTTTCCTCTACACTCTTTATAAAAGTGGAACTCTCTTAACCAGGAGAAGTGTTTCTTGTTTGTATTTTTAGCTGAACTGTGACTTCTATTACACAGTTTTCTTGTTCATTTATTGTATTCATTTCCAATTCATTTCTTTACGATGTCATTTCCTTATTTGTTGTGACCCTTATCTACTATTTTGGTGCCTATTTATACTTGCTTTTGTGTATCAAGTAAGTAAACAATTAATCTGAGTTGACATCATTTTATGGTGATGTAAAGTACATTGAAATCATATTTAACAAATGTATCGAAAAGTGTATTGGTTTTTTCCAAATTCTTTTCTGATTGGTGATACAGTTGAGAAACTTCGTAAGTTCAATACTCGAATAATAATATACATCATATCTTATGTTTATTTTCTCAGAAGTATTGACCAGATATCTCATCCTTTGATTGTTCTTTTCTAGTTTTGTTACAATGGTACTTGTAAAACAATCGATAATGTTCGTCCACTGTATTCATGTTATTGCAATGGTCGTGGCGTAAGTTTATCGTTATTTAAATATTACTCTTTTTTGAAAAGAAAATATTATACAACATGGATCATTGCTTGTAGATAAATAAATTCAATATCGAAATTCATTATTATTAGTAATAATATTATTGCGATTATTTTAAAACTTTCTTTAGTCATGTCATAAAAAATATTCGCTTTCTTGTAGACAAACAAACGAGATCCTAAAATATTATTTCACATTGGACTAAGTAAAAAACATCATGTAATCATTTCTTTATTGTGTTGTTGATTTTCTCGTGATATGTATATCGGGAAAAAGACACTGGGTTTAAATCCTAATGTGAACATCAACAATAGGATGCAGGCACATACAATCAGCCTACCAACCTCAAATAGGACAAAACACTCGTTCTCGATTTCACAGCTAACCACAATTTTTCAATTCGGTAAAGCTCATGATATCCATGTTTCAAATTATTCAAGTAAGAGCAGTAATTTTCCATTATCTAACGACGGGTGCCGTCTGTTTTCGAAAACAATGCTTACTTACGCTTGTTACCACTCGTGGAGCATAGGCCGCCAACCAGGATTCTCCAGCTAACTCTGTCATAAGCTCTCCTTTCCAGTTGTTTTCAATTGCTACTTATTATTTTCATGTCTGCCTCCATGGTCTCAAAGTACATGAGCAACGCTTCGTAGACGCCTATGATCGAATACCAGTAACATACGATTATCCTCTATTCTAAATGGCCTTTAACAAAATAATAAAGTAAAACAGAACAAACTGTTGCACAGTAAACTCCCCCCCCCCCTTTGGTCAGGAGACGTATTTCTCACCTACGCCATAAGTGAAGCAAGTTGATAAAAGCCAATAGAGCCTTCTGAATCGGTTTCGAGATTTAATCAGAAGTGAACTAAGTAACGAGAAAACCGAAAGTAGGTTCCAGGAACAACTGAGGTCACAATTAGGTAGTTCTGAAAACGAGACTGGCTCAGATGTTGCTTGGAAAGATATACAAACATCTGTGGAAACAGCAGTGACAACTATCAATGATTTAAACCACAGGGATACAAAGAACCAGTGGATTTCTTCAAGGTCTATCACATTGATGGATCCTCGTAAATTCATCCCATCGGGCCCTGAACACGATGAAGAGCTAAAACAAATCTGATCTAGGTTAACCAAAAGTCTAAGGAACGACCGTGAGCAATGATGAGCAACGAAAGCAAAAGAGATGGAAAAGGCGGCGACTGTAGGGAACACAAGACGGCTCTACAGACTAATAAAAGAAACTGGAATTAATAAGTCAAGTGTAAGTGAGATTATTTCGGAAAAAGACCATACTCTCATCTACTCCCAGTCCAGACATTCAGAACGATGGGCAGAACAGTTCAGCTGGCCTTCAGCTACTCTACAACTACCTTCCATTCTCAGACAGTGTGAATGGAACATTGAAGTAGGTCCCCCAACTCTAGCTGAAGTTCAAAAGGCTATAGTTAGTCTGAAACGAGGAATGGCAGCTGGTCCAGATGGATTGGCTCCAGAGGTCTTTAAGGATGGTGGTCCAATTTTAGCGATTAGGTTGACTAATATTTTTGCTAAAATCTGGGAGTTGGACGTAATCTCATCTGGCTGGTCGCAACACTTATTATCCCGATATATGAGAAGGGGTCAAAATCGTCCTATGACAACCATAGAGGGATTAGTTTAACTAATATAGTATCTAAAATACTAGCCTCGATAATTATCGGACGCCTAAGACTCGTGAACTGCAAACATAAGAGAATCAAGCTGGCTTCAGACCTGGTTGTGGCTGCATCGACCACATATTCACCATTCGTCAGGTTCTAGAACACAGGCATACTTATCGGCGTCCGGCAATGGTGGTCTTTCTTGACTTAAAAGCAGCATTTGACTCTGTAGACCGCGAGATTCTTTTGCAGTGTCTGTCATTGAGAGGCGTACCTCAGAAGTACATAAACCTTGTGAAGGCTCTTTACTCGAACACTACAAGTCGAGTCAGTGCTTATGGCGAACTGTCATCTACTTTTGCAACCTCAAGTGGTATCCGTCAAGGCTGTCCACTTTCTCCATTTCCGTTTAAATTCATCATAGACCTATTAGTGGAAAGAACATTCTCGTTGACTGGATTCTCGGGTATTGATCTCCTACCAGGAGGTCCACTTATCGACTTAGAATACACAGGCGACATAGTCCTGTTTGATGAAGACGGTGACAAAATGCAGAGTTTTCTGGTAGCACTAAGCAACAATGTCAGAATGTTTGGAATGCGCTTCTCCCCCCTTTAAATGCAAGTTGTTACTTCAGGACTGGTCTGCATCAACACCTGAACTAAGGATAGGGAGTGAAGTAGTCGAACGCGTTGACAACTTCACTTATCTTGGAAGTCTGATCAGCCCTAATGAGTTGGTGTCTGACGAAATCTCAGCACGGATTCGAAAAGCTCGCTTGGCTTTTGCCAACTTACGTCACCTATGGCGGAGGCGAGATATCCGTCTATCAATAAAAGGACGAGTATACTGCGCGGCAGTCCGTTCTGTTTTAATTTACGGGTGCGAAACATGGCCTTTAAGAGTAGAAGATACTCGTAAGCTACTAGTATTTGACCACAGATGCCTTAGAAATATTGCTGGCATCTGCTGGGATCACCGGGTAACTAATAGTGAGGTTAGACGCAGGGTATTATGGAATGATGGTAAATCAGTTGATGAGGTTGTGAATCTTCATCGACTGAGATGGTTGGGCCACGTATTACGTATGCCTGAATACCGATTACCACGACGTGCAATGCTAATCGATGTTGGGGATGATTGGAAGAAAGTTAGGGGCGGCCAAACCAAAACGTGCATCAGTGTTTGGAATCACTAACTTCAGGTCTGAGCCATGTTGGTAGATGCAGACTACTTGGTTGGGGTTCGCGTGACTATCGTAACCAATGGTTAGAGACTCTTGGTGACATGGTTCGGAATCGATCACAATGGCGTCGGTGCATACACTCCCTGTCTTCCCTTAAACTAAGAGATTAAAATTACTTCATATCTTTCTTTCTACGAACTAATTCTTTCTTCGTGTACTATATCCTTATATGCAATCTTTCTCCTATATATTACCACCTTTGACCTAACCACTCCTATGAATCCGGTGTTCATCTTGCTGTGCTAATGCGGTATGGCAACCTGGACCGATGCATATTTGTGCGTGGTCCTACGTTGTGACTGACTGTGACCATCAGTACTGATGAGACTCCCAAAATAAGTGGAGCGGTTGATGCGTTCGACTACTTCATTCTCTATCATTAATTCGGGTGATAACGTAAACCAATCATGAAGCAATGTTTTACATTAGGAGGGAGAGAACCACATCCCGAAAATGCTTGCATTATTGCTTAAGGTGGTCAGAAGAATCTGCATTTCGTCAGCTTCTTCACCAAACAGAACTATTTCATCTGCGTACTCCAAGTCAACAAGTGAATCTCTTGATAGAAGATCGATCCCTGAAAAATCAGATGATGAAAGTGTTATCTCTAAAATCACATCTATGAAAAAGTTAAATAAAGATGGGAAAAGCGAACAACCCTGACGAACACCACTTGAAGTAACCGGTGCCGATGACAGTTCACCATAAACTCCGACTCCTCCAGTTTACGAGTGGAGAGCCTGTACAAGGGTTATTTACTTCTCAGGTACACCCTTCAGTGGTAGACACTGACATAGAAACTCACAACTAACAGAGTCGAACGTCGTCTTAAGGTCAAGGAACCCACCCATAGTTGGACGTCGAAAAGTATGTCTGTGTTCTATAACTTGCCAAAGGAATAATTTTTTCGTCTATACGTCCACGTCTAGGTTTAAAATCAGACTAGTTTTCTCGAGCAGGCTCTTCATGAGCTCTGGTTAGATGCCGAAATATTACTGAGGCTAAACACGTTAAAGTTTCACCTCTTCTAGAGTTTCTCCATCAGGTGTGATTGGGTTGATGCCCTCTGTGTTGTATGTCAGTATCTTCCTTTTTCCTTTGTGTCTGTTGAGGCCTACTACTGTAGATGCTACTGCTACACTGGTTGTCTTCACCTGCATTTGTTGCTGTGTATGAGATAGAACAGCTAGGTCATCTGCCAATTCCAAATCGTCTAGTTACATCCAAAATAGCCATCGTATTCCGTGCTTCCCATCAGATATCGAGGTCTTCATAGTCCAGTCAACCACCAGAAGAAATAGAAAAGGAGCGAGTAGGCAGCTATTTCTGACTCCGGTTCTCACTTGAAATACAGTTGTTAGCTGTTCTCCATGCACCACTTTGTATTGTAGTCCGTCATATGAATTTCGGATGTGGTTGACGATCTTCTCAGGAACACAAAGGAAGGTGATGTATAGTGACGAGTTCCACCCAATTGATTGTTCAATGATGATCTGTAATGTCGCGATTTGGTTTGTCCACGACCGATCCTTACGGAATTTAACCTGTTGATCTTGAAGCTGAGCCTCTGTTGAATCTTTCATTCGGTTCAGTGGTACTTTGTTGAAAACTTTTCCTTGTACCGATAGTAGTGTGATACTCTATAGTTCTCTCATTTGCTGAAGTCTCCTTTCCAGTCTATCGGCACTTGCTCTTCATCTCAAATCTTCCTGAATAGATTGTGAAGCATCTTTGCAATTGCTTCGATGTCTGACTTCAGTGCTTAAGCTAGTATGTTGTCAGGTCCTGCTGCTTTCCCACCCTTGATTTGTCTGATGGTCATCCTGATTTCTTCGATCGTTGGTGGAGTGACATTTATATGAATGCCTGTGACTTGAGAATTATAACTTCATGGAATAAAAAGTAAAAAATAATTTTAAAACTTAAGACTCTAAGTGAATATGAATAGTAAATACATCTGCGCCATTAAAATCAATTCGGAAACAATGTTTTATTTACAGGCTTTACTTTTATTTTAGTCAACATCGATTCATTCGTTCATCTTCATGTATTCTGTTGCATCACAGATGTTTTTTGGCTGTAATAAAATAAATATTAACGGCTCAAAATAATCTTAATTAATTTCTGTGTCGGTTACAAAATGCTTGTTACATAAAATTATTATTTTGTTAATATAATGGTGATAATTATCTATCATCGTCATCAGTTTTGAGTCTTTTTTGATAGTTTCAACATTGTACTTGCATTTGTTTAGCAACCTTTTCGTTTACCTTTTAGTTTAAACAGTCGATTACTAAGTACCTCTAGCTTTTAAATAGTCTGTATAACTCAAAACATTTAATTTATATGTTTATACTGCATTAAGAAAATTTGACACCATTTATTCTATTGTTAGATGGTTGTAGGCAGTTGGTAGGGATCCATAGACCTTAGTTTCATACTGGTTGCCATTCGTCAAGAAGGCACGCACACAACCTTGAGAAAATCATTAGGGATTCAAACCTGGATCATTTAGTTTCACAATCCTGAGGCGTTACTATTGAGCCATTTGATCTACATTTTCATGCATAAGCTTCTGTCGGTACTAATGATTAAACAAACATGACACACTAGCCATATCTTAGTGATCAGTCAATGTGCTTGTTTTATTTACTATTCTAGCATTGGGTGTTATTAGTGATTTCCTCTCGCACTTCGGTTCACCTTTATCCATCTTTTACCATTGAATTGTGTGTTTAAATTCCCCTATATATTTTTTTCATTTTCAAATACCTTTATTACAGATTTGTAATAATTTAGGACATTGTCATTGTTCACCCGGTTATAAACCACCTTACTGTGAAGAAGATGGAAATGGTGGCAGTGTAGACAGTGGGCCGCCTCCAATAAGTAGTAAGTTTATTAGTTCAAATAAACGATAATATTAATCTGAAGGAGAAAATAACCCATTTTTCATTTCGTCCAGCGTTAACTGAAAATAATCCGTGATTTTGAAAAACACTAACAACGACAAATCTGTGAAAAATGAAATATTTTGTCAGTTATTTAAGTAGACAGATAACTAAATGAAGACAAACAACACAATTATAAATCAGCCGGTCACTTGTCAACAACATAAAATTAAAATAAATGTCCACATCACCTTGCTCTACCACTAACGCTCGATCAGTATGGTTGTTCACTTTGAAGAAGTGACTCACGTTAAATCACGAAACGTCAGAAATTCAGTTTTCTACTCGTTGGGATATCTGAAAATATATTTGTCATTTATTTGACTGTATAAGCTTGATATAAATCATCTATTTTCATTACCTTAAGCAGCATACAGTAAACTTTAATACGTTTGAATACTGATCATCTTAAAGTTTCAAACAGTTATGCATCAGAATGCTGAAAAAGTAAAACAAAGTGGTAACTGGTCGGAAACTTACTTTTCACAATAGTTTAATCTTTTTGTGCATTTACACAAATAATTGATTATATTCCATCTAACTACTTGTGTCTATTTAAGTAGCTGAAAGATATTGGAAATGCGTCGTAGAGTCGAGCTAACAGTTTGCAAGTGGCTATCTATATTAGACACTCTTGTATACTAGAGAAACTGCTTAATAGATAAAGTCCTCTTTTTTAAAAAAAAAATCAAGAGCTTATAATCCCTCTCTATTCAGTTATCTTTTGAGAAACGAAGTAGTATCATTAGACTGTTAATAGCGTAGACCTAATCTTGGCAAATGCAATTTTCTTGGACGATAAAAATTAGAGGAAGTGTTTTGAATAAACTAAACCGCACAATTCCCCAACCTTAATTTAGTAATTTCTTCCATTAATACACTTATATTAATTGTTCATTAGTGTAAAAATTGGGCGACTACCGATTTTGTGAAATCATTTATATATCCACTATCTAAACTCATCTTACATATTTCCTTTTTTTACTTTCAAGGGATCAAGGATAACACATTACTTGTTGTAATATGCATCCTTTTCTTTGTGATTTTACCTCTCATTGGATTTGGCGTATACTATGTATTTATACGTTCTGGTAGATGTTTAGTGAGCACATCAAAGGAGTTTATTTATACAAGTAGTGGTTTACGTAAACCATGTGATAAAAATTGTACAGAATGCTTTTGTCAAGTATTCAGGTGAATGTTTTGTTTATTTATCTAATAGTGTTATTCCTCTGACTAATAATTAATAGACTCAAATATATACATATCCCATTGGAAAGTCAATCAGTTTTAATCAACACAGAGCCCGGTACAAATGTTTGTTAGCCTAAGTTGTTCCCATACCATATCAACGCGGCTGGGTAAAATTGACAGAAAGAATTGAACAAAATCTAAATAATAGTTGTATGAGTGATAATGAGAAGGACTGAGCATTAGAGAATACTGTTAAAAAGGAAGGGATGAATTCTAGAAGTGAAAAATATGAAATGATAGTGATAGTCAAGAATGAAAGTAAGATAAAAATTTACGCTACAGTGATCGATTCTGACCGATAGCACCCACTATATCCAACCACTGGTCATGGGTAGCCCATGGACTTCAACCAGGTAGGCTACACCTATAAGTATGGCTCTTTTAAATGGTCAATAACTTCATAGATCTATCTCATATCTTAGTTTTTCTATCTATAGTTTTCTTACAACACCATTCCTAGGCTAACCAACTTTACAATTATACCTAGGTGTTCACTGGTGATGTGCAAGACATGTGTCAGTTACCTTTACCGATTAAGACTATCGGCCTCATCAATTCACTCACCCTATTTGAAAGTCTTCACACAACAATCAAAAAGTAATTCCTGTAGAATTTGGGACTGATACTATATGGATAACTGTTGGAAATCATAGCTTATCGGACGGACTTTTCGTTGGGATTCCCAGGAAGTACACACTAATAAACCCATCATGGGTCGAATCCATGACCTTTCATATCTCGCAGTTCCCACACTGCCACCGAATACTGAGTTATTACACATTTCCAACAACAATAAATCCACTTAGGTGTATAACCTTTATTCATACATACTTGAATATTATATTCTACTGTTGTTGTTTTAAATAACTATTTTGGTACTCCTTTTTGTAACTTGTTTTTTCTCATCCATTTACATATTTGAAAAAAAATATTTTCCAGTTTCCTAGCATCTTTCACAGAACTATTCACAAGATCTAGTCGTACAACAGTAATCGATGGTAGTAATACAATCATTGTATCAAGTAATCATCATCATAACAACAAATTATTGTTTAGTAGGGTTAATTTTCATCTATAAAATTCACATTGATATATTGATCGATTTATTCCATGATAATATCGAGTTAGAATTAACAGTTCTTTCTCTTATTCAGACAAACAATGATTGTATTTTAGTGAATATACAAAAATAATTTATCCTATACACATTTTTCTTTCTGTTCATCATCCATGATTTGCATGCTGAAATAATTCACTGATGAATTTATTTTTTCTATTCATTCATTAATGATTGATTATATATGTATGAAATTTCTTCTCATACCTTTTTAGAAATTCACTTCGAAATATTACTTTTTCATAATGTTTTTCTGCTAGACAAAATTTTTCTATCTACACAATTTTCTGATGGATCTATTCAGTAAATCATAATCAACTTAGGACCTGGCACAGATGTATGTCAGCCCAAGTTGACATGCCTTATTAACATGGCAAGATGAATAGCAAACGACATCGAAATAATGTACCATTAATAATAGAAAAGACTGAAAATTGTGTTCAAAAAGGTTAAAACTCAAAATCTGGAGAAAGATAAAGAATGCGTGAAATTGCTTCATTGTGACTGCCTCTAACGTGGATTGAGTAGAGTTTGAGCACTTACGAGTTATACTTTGGTCATTAAGCCATCCTTTCTTATTTTTCAGTAGCATACAATAAACATAAGAAAATAGAAATCAATATTGACTGAATCAATTTTCCTAGGGTTCCGGTTTTAAAAGAAACCTATTTTTTCCTTTTTACATTTAAAAATATGAGAAACTTTAGAATTTTGATTTCATTTCGCCATTTTAACTATCAACCAGTGCTAAATATATTATTACCAGATATAAAACGTATTTTATAATTAGACAACACATTACTTTCAACCAAGAAATGAGTAAATCGTTTTTTGAATGTTCCCTAATTGCAAAAATTGTTTTCTATTCCTTATTTAAAACATCCTACAACATTAAAACTGGTTTATTATTGAAAATCTGACCTAATTTGTAATTTTCAATTTTAAAATATCACGGTTTATTACCCGACTTTCTCATGTGATTCGATTTAAACATTAATTTTGTCATTATACTGTAATTTCAAGGTATTGGTTTAATTTAATAATTTATAAAGCATTAGTATCCAACTGTGATTGCATGGGAAAACGTTGTATTGGATGTTCTTTTTGAAAACTTATAGGAATAATTACTATCATTCCGTTTTTTTCTCTGCTTAGAAATGACAAAGCCAAAAATTCAAAACAAAGTGATAGACTCGAAAAGCCGTACCCCTTACTTGCATTCGCAGCCTTCGATTCAAAAGTCACAGAGAATAAGGGATTCATCAACGGTCAAACCAATGGTTACTGCAATGTCACATCCAATGGTAAACTATCAAACGGTTCTTACAGACCAGTTAAACCAAAAACAGTCAGCTTTGAACCAGTGCCCTCTAAGAAAACAACTTCCAATTTCAGTGGAGTCAAAACAACTTGCTCACAAAACACCTTGTTCACTAATTTATCAACAGAAAATAGCACAAAAGCAGCAAACAAATATCACCGCACAGGTTCGAAAAGAGAAATTCTAACTTTGATTTCTAGAAATGGTACAATTGTGAAGTATATAATAAGATAAATACTGCGAGAATCCCATATTGTTTAAATTAATATATCCAGAAGAGTAATATTTATCACATAGTATTCCATGATCAATCTCCGATTATATATACCTCGCAGTGTGCAACTCTCAGACTGAAATAATCGCACTCAATAAACACATTAGTAGTTAAAATAAGACGGAAAAAGTCTAGATCTAAACTTATGGGGAAACATATTATATTAATTATGAGACACATAAGGTTTACTTGACACTTTCAAAAATATCACTTTGATTTCAAATAAAAACAAGTTACCATAGTAAACAGCACTTCCAAATAATTAAAAAGAAATACATTTTTAAACTATGCTGATGATGAGAACCATTCTTCTTTCGAGGAAATAAAGTTAAATTAGATTTTAAGCTTCAAAATACAAAAAAGCACTCCCTTCAAGAATGAGTGACATGAAACGTTCTTTTGTATAATAGCAACCAAAAGAGGAAAGAAATGATGAACATGTACATTAGCAACAACATCTTGTCTAATTAAAAAAAAAACACATTGAAATTCAGTAGAATAAAAGGAGATATTGGTTCTTACTTACTACCCTTTTTCTTTCCTTTAATTCATGACGTAAAATAATTCTGTAGCTGATGAAAGGTAAAATAACAAATTATGGCTTGGAACACGTATTCGATTACAGAGTAGAAAAATCCAAAGCGTATGGTTTTACACTTTTCAAATGGGAGAGAAAAGGTACATTAATTTGTTTAAAAACACTGTACAACAAGGGAGTGAACTACATTCAGTTAAAAGAAACCTGTTTTTTTAATCAGTAACTCAGATTTTTCTAAAGGACTCTCAATTGCTAGACATATAAGTTGACTATTTAACTCAGTCTATTCAAAAAGATAACGTCTCACCTAATGATCATTTAATTTTTTTTAATAAGTTGATACTTATATTTTGTGTCACAATGCGATACATTAAAATATTATATGCAAAGATTAAGACAGTACGGTGAAACAAGCTGTAAATATATCCAATAGTAATCAACAAATTCTACTTGTTGTTTATCATTATCAGACCGCAAGTGGTTTCTTTAGAATTTCTTATTAGATAATCCATTAGTTTACCCTTACTTGATAAACTTATTTTACTTCTCATGAGATTTTCTCCTCCAAACATTAAGGCTCAGGGTCCTTACTTATATTTTTGTTTCCTACTGACTATTTATTTATCTGTCACAACAAACTCGATTGGTCTTGAGTATTTATTCTTCAACGCTACATAGATTCTTGTTTAAACTGGCGAATGTCTCGAGTCTGAGGTATCAGTTTACATCTGAATAACTTTTAATCTAGGTAACGAAAAACTTCCCATGGTCTATCATTAAACTTCACTTCATAATGTAAATTAATTTCAAATGGATCACTTTTTATATATTTTAAACACAAAAATTAGCATAAAGTGGAACCACAATATCCATGCCTCATACAAATCTTTGAATGTGTATAGGCTTGGATACTATCCGGGTCCCCAAACTGAAGCATGTAGTTTTTTTAAGGGGCACTCCCTGATCCTGACCTAGAGGCCTAATCCATAAGGTAGTGTAGCAACGTTCGGGATGCATCCCGATGGTATCCGGTGACCAGGAGTAGGTTCATACACCATTTGTTCCCTTAAGATCCTGGAGCCGATGTGCACCATTGGTTTGGAATCAGGGTTTTCCGACGCCGCTAGGTAGGCGTCCGTATCCACCAACCCGATTAAAGCTCCGGACATCCCCTTTTCATCCTCTCAATTTAGTAAACAGTACCCCCACCACGAAAAGGCAATGAGTAAGATTTCCCTGCTAATGACTTTATGCCCGCAACCTAATGAGAGCGTTTTAAGAGGGAGAGCGGATTTTCCCCACTCTCGGCCGTATCAGGGATTCGGGGGCCTAAAATGGATTACTAACTCAAAACTTATGCTTGATCTTTTTCCATCTTATGTGTTACCGGACGGAACATATGATAATATTCTCCTGTGTGTAATTAAATTACTTAATTAATTTCTGACGCTAGTATTCTAATACTTATTTAGATAAAAACTGCATCATCAAGGAAGATAATAAAGAAACAATCCCAACTAGTCACCTGAAGTTTACTAAATTCGATAGTCAACATCTCTCCACCGCTTTTGAACATCACCAACAACATTTACACTCGAACAGTACATCTATAAAGCCAACTACATTCATTTCAGAACCCCGACTTGAAACAATGACTTATGAAGGACCAATGTGTTCTTTAAATGATCCAATTATAATTAATACATTACAACGTAAATCTAAAAACACACTTGATAATCAATCAAAACCTGCTTCATTTACTAATTCTCAATCATCTATTAATAAACAAAATTGTCAACAGAAAACAATCACTAATCAACCCCTTACAACGCAACCACTGACAACAACAGTTGTAACAGGTGGACGTCAACCACTTTCATCGAAAGATATATCTGAGCCATTATTACAAGCAACTACATATAACGAAAGTTTATCGGATCTAAAAACAGCTAGATTGAGATTATCACAGAAAGAATTTGAACTTTGATTATTATTTTCCGTTAGTCGTCTGTCCGTTGATGGGTTTCTCACATTTATGTGTAGAATTCTGATCTATTTCCATTAAATGTTGTTCTCTCGCAATTCATTCCAATAGAAAATGAATATATTAATAATAAGGGAAATATCTACTATGAGAATTAAACATTTACATTGTAAGAAATACACCAATATAGTTATTATTTTCAATAAATGTGATAATCTAGTCGTGTTGCTTTTTTTGTGGTTTTATCTTTATTCGATTTGGATCGTATTTATTTAAATAGTAATGATTCATTTATCAATATTAATCGATGAACTCTCTTGAATCTCTTGAAAAGTTGACGTATAGTTGGATATTCCAGGCCGAATTCAACTCAGGCTGATAGAGATTATTATGTAAGTGATTTTGTTTTTATAAAAAATAATCTCTTGTTTTTGTGTGTGTATTTGCTGATGTGATGAATTTCACTTTCTTGTTCTTATATATCTAACACAATTCGGTTGTATACAACTAATTGTTCTACTTATCTTCCAACCAACATTCATTATAATGATATTATTCTGGTGTGAAATAACCTTCATGTTCATTTTAAAGTCCACTTTACTTATAGAACTAATGGAAACAATAATCAATTGGTTATCAGTGATATAGACATTTATATATTTGCTTATGTATGTCGTTATTGTATTTATCTTAGAACTTTCCGCTTTTATAGATGACTACTCTTGAATTCCTACTTAATTTGAATGTCAAAATTAACGATCTGTGACATGCTACATATAAAAATTAGTAAAAATGTCGATTAAATTCTTGCCTCCCTACTTTTCAAATATTCCCTAATTGCCTTTTTTGTTACAAAAATATTTATTATAATATATTTAATAAAAGTATTTTCAAGCAATTCAATGAGTTATTACATGTGTACTGAGTGAAGTGGTAGAAGTTATAAGTCAACTATAACACATAACTAGTGATGTAAAAAAGTTCAGCTACCATATTTGTTTATTTATTCTTTTTAATTATGATGATGATACGTACTTCATGCTCAGGTTTTGTTTTTTAATCCTATATTTATGTGTAAGCGGAATTAATTTACCTCTTTAGTCGCCTTCATCAATCAGCAGATTAAAAAAATATATATAGTGTGAAATCGTGTTTTGGTTTTTTTTCTTCACTACCACCAAATTAAACGCATAGACCCTCAAGAGTAGAAATAGAAAATATTTTATACCTTTTTCTCAAATAAGTGTCTTTGTTGTCAACATTGTGTGATTTGGGAAGCAAAAATGAAATATTGTCTATTGTTTTTTAGCTATTTGTATTCTTTAAAACAAAACTGATTACTCTGGCAAGTGTTTATTACATTTATTGTTCTGAACAAGATCACGAATACCACCAGTCTGAAAACAGAAGGAAAACAATACAATGAGGATGTTGTATTAAAGTGTATTTATAGAAAAATAAGCACAGTACGTAGATTATTCAGAAATGTTATGTTTTTATTGTTGAATAGTAACTATTTGTTATTTTAATTAATAACAAGAGATAAAGAACATTTCTAATTATGATGTAATCGTTGTTTGATAAAAAAGCATCAATATGAAATTCGATTCGCAAAGATATATATGTTCATGTCGTTACATCACGTTACCCTCTATGTAAAAATTAGTTAGTAACTGTACATAAACCTTTAAGCATTTAGAAATTATCCAATGAATATAATTTTGCTATACTGAGAACAGATACGCAAAATAAATTGAGTTTTCCACACTTCGATCTCTAGCTTAGTCGTTTTTTTTAATATTCTCATTATGTGATTTTTTCATGTATAGTGCGCGATTTAGTTTTAATCTATCACTTCTTAAAATTATAGCGAAACAGTAGCTTTAGTGTGATCATAGCATTCGTCTTTCAACTACTTTTTAGATTTGAATCCCACAACACGCACTATTACTAGCTCTCACAAAAAAGTGTAACTCAAAGCAAAATACTCAAACGTATACTTCATGAATGAGTTACATCAAAAAGAGGAGTAATAATTCTTAATGTGAACAGCAAGATGAAGTGAGATTCGACTGTTGGAAGGAACAACAATATCATATAATGACGCTACATATTTGATGTTGGTGAATAAAAAGTTTTTATTCGGTTACTTTATCACATTTCTTCCTTGATCAATAAATACCAATCATCACGGAGGAAGCCATCACAAAAGTGTTTGGTATAAAAAAGTATTTATAGATTATAAGAATAAGTGTAGCATAACCTTATACCGGTGTTTGTTTGTTAATAAATACAAAGTTCCGTTACATCTACAAAATTATGTCTCAACACTACTACAAGCACTAATAACCCAAGAAAATATTGTGTTAACCTACTGTAATTTGATAATATCCAACACCATATGGTCTTCCAGGATGTTTCAGCAGTTTTACTTGACGAATACCTGTAGTTAGACGTGTCAAGAAAACACGGAGAGAACAAATATGCCCCCAACTATCTCCAAGTGCCGGTACTAGACATGAATTTCGATCGATTCTGCATTGCTCTTTTACAACTTTCTCTTCTATAACACAATCAAATTGTTCTGAATTCAGATTTTTCGCATCGAATTTAGTTGTAATTTGATTTGTAAGAATAACCTGAAAATCATAAACTAAATGTAATCAGAGTGAATTAAATAAACTAAGTAGAAATCCTAATATTTTTGTAAGTCATTTTTATTTGAGAAACAAAAATACGCTAGTAAAGCGTTGTATTTCCAAAAATTTGATATTGATGTTCACCTAAAGCCAAGAGTCAAACATGATTGTTACATATGAATCCATCCACATCAACATAGATGAAATGCACTATAATACACGATAAATCAAACGAGTAATGCGTTAAACAGCTGAGAAGTCCAAATATTAATTGTCAATCTTTTGTATGTGAAAAAGATGTATAACTTATTGGGAGGAATTCAAAAGCAAAAAGATCTCCGAAGATTAGTTTTAGTTACGAAACCGGGCCAGTCAACCAAATAAGGACTCGATATGGCGAGTACAAATTTAGCCTAGTAATCGGGTATTTAAATTCTACTCGTTGCTAAACGACATAAAGTAAACCCGTACATTACAATTGTTTACGTTTAAATTGACAATTACCTATAAATGCTATTCGTACTCTATATTTTGTGTCATTTTTCCATTTCACTGGGAAACTACTTCCTTCGCTAGTCAGTTCTTTTTTTTTCTTCTCAAATACGTTCATCAAGCGGATGCTACGAGTCGTAAGTGCTTTTTGTGAGTAATCACCACCAGGCTAAACTATGCATATTAATTCAGACAATCAGTTCTCCTTGAGGTCGATCACAGACAGAAAACTCTTAATTTTTCAAGATGTTTGTGTATGAACACACATAAACAATAAGTGGTTCTACAGTAATTAGCTTATGTTAAAACTCCCACTGAAGGTGACTTACTCAGCAACAACATTCAACTCTCAGCATAGATAGGCACAAAGCTAGCTGGTTTAATATAACCGGACAGAAAAAAATGTCAATCAATAAGGGAAGTTAGTTTACGACTAAACAAAGAAATGCAAGGATGAAAATTGTTTGGTAAAAACGTAGTTACTCATGAGTAGCACAATTATGACACATAAATCACGCATATCAACATTTCACGTAATTGCCGTCTTCTCTAGCATAACAAATGGTAGAGAAAAGTACCCTTCCGTAGTTCAAACAAATAAATGTATAATAGTGAAGAAACACTAACGAATGGTGATCATGGACTTATTATATTTTAATTAAACCTCACTTTAACAGAACAAGGTGATTAAGGCATGAATAATATCTTATTGTGGGAATGATTTGTAAGAATAAGTGAAGCAGTATCTGAATATGTGTTACTCACTCACTGAAAGTTGAGTATTTACTCTTCCCAACTAGACTGATAATTAAAACGATAATCAAAATATTGAAAATAAAAAAAACCATATAAAATAATCCAATATACCATAGTGTATATTTATTTACTGGGATGAAACTAGAATAACAAATTCGTCAAGGATATACAATAAATATTGAGATGACTTACCGCAGCCTGTTGACGCCCAGCAACGCAGAGTAACATTTGTGTTACACTTGCCAATAATCTATTACGTTGAGGAATATCATCAAAATCGTAACGAAATGGGAGAGCGATACTGTCAATGACAATCAGTCGAATCTGAATTAAGATCAATAAACATTTGTGGCTAAAATCAGCTATATCAGAGTTGATGAATTTCCTCAAAAAGTAAAGGACCTCTTCACCGAATAAATTTTTCTCTCTTGATATTTCAACTGGTAATTTCCCCTAATTTAAATACGAATAACTTCAATGTTTTAAATCCCACTGAACTAAAGAAATATTAAGATAATACTTAGTATGTAACTGGAAAGAATTATTCACTTCACATAGAAGTAGTAATACGGACCAAACTGTCAGCACGATTTGCTACATATACTATTCAAAAAATATTAAAATACCAAATATAATCGGTTGTTGTTTCGCACTGAGTTTAACGTTTGACACATGAGAATCCATCGGCATATTCCAATACAAAAGTAGTCTAGACTACCTTTACTTGTGAGATAAATCACTTTCATCCATAGATAATAGAATAAATTCAACGCATTTAAGATCATATACATAATAATAATAATTTACCAAAGGATGTTGGTCACAAAATTGTTCTAAATGTCGACAAACAGCTAATAACTTCAAATGATCAGTTATTCGTATGTAGTGAATTCCAGACATTAGACTTTCAACAGTTGGACAATATTTTTTAATGAAAGATTCATCTGTTCTTTCCGGATCTATTAATAAATCAACGTAATAATACTAACAGTTATGAAATATTTGAGGGGTTTACATAAGTTAAGAGAATTGAGTCAGTGAAAAACAGATGAATGAAGATAATTTTAGCATGCATAAAATAACAGTTAACTTAGCGAAAGTTGTGTAAAATAACAT